CTTCGCCTTTTGTTTTGTTAATTAATCTATTTTTTTACTGTATCAAAATTAATTATGAAAACAATAAAGTCGTTTATTATTATTATTATTATTATTATTATAGGGTGTACTTTTACTTGCCAGTCTTTCTGCGTTATCTGATTTATTCTTTTATAGTCTACACAGAACGAGTAGATCCGTCTTTCTTAGTTACTAGGACTACAGGTAAGTACCAGGGACCAGAAGCTTCTTCAATAATGTTTGAATGAATAATGTCCTGTCATATTTGCTACTTCTTTTTGTTTAATAAATTCTAGGTGTTTGTCGTATTAGCATTGCATCACCTGTATAAATTCTATTCTGAACAAGACTGGTATGCCCCGTAGATTTTCCTGTCTCGAAAATGTCACACTTGGTATTGATAAATTCTACGACTTTTTTAGGTTCTTGATGGTCATAATTTTTAGCTAGCTGTTTTACAAAGCTGGCGTCAACTGAGTTACTTGTGGTGGCTTTTCCCGTGGAACGGTCTTCGCACTTGATTATGTTTTCTACCGGTGTACAGAGCCCTATTGCTTGTCCTTTCTTTGGTTTGAATGGTTTTTTCAATAAATTGGCAACCCTTACTGAAATTAGTTGATCAACGTTAATGAGACATCTAGCTACCAGAATTCCGTCACTCACAGATTCTTCACTCTCCACAATGCCCACATGCAAGCCGTGTGATTTCTCGCTAAGTCTCGCCAAGACGATACCTTCAGAATGTTTGAGTACTTCTATGTCTTCTTCCACTAGGACCTTCATCGGTTCAGTCTTTTCTTCCGAATTTAGGACAATTTCCTCGTTTCCAATTACCAAGATCTTGTTTTAAAAGTAGATGATAAACTTATTTTCCATAATGTCCATACCAAGGACATACGGATTCTTAATATCGGCCACTAGAAATAAATGCAATCTGTACGATTACTGATATCTCGCCTAGAACAGGATTAGTGTGCCCTGTAGCTGTTTCCAGAACTAAACTTCTTCGAGTTGGTCGTGGTTTTCGATGCAGGATCCCTGTTCGAATAAAAGACTTGGTTGCACCAGTATCAAGGACGAAGGTGCTTTTCTGGTTATCGATATACCCCTTGACCAATAGATTTTGCCCGTTTTTATTTAAAGTGTAAACGCTAATTTTGGGGTCCTCTGTTACAGCCGACGCCTGCCTCGTAGTGTCGACCTTTATTCGTTTCCCTGACTATTGCTAGAAAGCCGGCTAGATATGGGTGACCGGCTTCTCTGGGAGGCATATCTGCCGTAATTATTTCTTGATGGACTTCGTTGACGCGCTTTGGGAGGTTTATCTAGGTGAATTTTTGGTATCATTCCCCGGTTCTCGATTTATAGAACGAGCCCTGCTTCGACAAGTTCTTTGAAGGTGTCCAATTCTTTCAAAATTAAAGCATCTTCTGCTTTCATTTTGGCTATTTCGTTGCATACTTTGCAAGATATTTAACATTTGTGAGAGGGTAGGTTGAAGAATAGTATTAGTATTGGCCTCTTCACTTTCTTGAAATCGAATTTCTCTCAATTTTGCGCGAGAAGATCTAGATATACGTTTTGCTGCTTCGTACTCCTGGGCTGCAATAAGTGTCTCATTTAACGTCTTGTGGTATTGTAGCCGAAGACCATGCTGCATTTTCACGACCTGTAGTCCATCAGTAAATGCTTGTATGCCGATTTGTTTTAAGAAATCTTTAGGTGCCTGTGAATAGGCCATATGCAGTAATCTTTTAATATCGGCTTCGAATTCTTGTAAGCTCTTATTGTGTTTCTGACTACGAACTTTTAGCTAACTTTGGAATACCTGTTTCAAATGCTGCTGGCCATATCTTGTCTCCAAAGCTTGGACGAGAGATGAGTAACTGGGTTCTCCTTGGGGAAGTAACTGCAAAATAGTTGATGTCTGACCTCGCAATGACACTATCAATGAAGCCGCCATCTCTTTCTCGGTCCAGCCATTGGCTCTAGCTGCAGCTTCAAATTGGAGTCGATATGTTTAACATGTTGTCTGACCGTCAAATGCGGGTGTGTTCAAGGTCTTGCTACTATGATTTTGTGAGACTGGGATTTGAATGCGGCCTGGTTCGGTTACAGACGAAGACGAGGTAGTGTTTTCAGCTTACACAAGCTTGGCTACGAATTCTCCTTTCTAACTCGACCATTTCGGCTCTAATTTGCTTTTCCAACTCTACTCTAGCCTCTTATTGTTGTTCTAAATTAGATTTCAAATTATCTTGCTGTTGCTCTAAATTAGATTTTAATTTTTGTTGTTGTTGTTGTTGTTGTTGTTGTTGTTGTTGTTGTTGTTGTTGTTGTTGTTGTTGTTGTTGTTGTTGTTGTTGTTGTTGTTGTTGTTGTTGTTGTTGTTGTTGTTGTTGTTGTTGTTATTGTTATTGTTGTTGTTGTTGTTGTTGTTGTTGTTGTTGTTGTTGTTGTTGTTGTTGTTGTTTTTTTTTTCCTTTTGTGTCATCGGCTTCAACTGCTAAGGTTATTTCGCCTTGTGTTCTGTGTAGGCTTTGTTACTGTTTCCCAGCGCCACTTTAAGAACAGCACTGTTAATTAGAACCCAACAGTGAATGGTCGAGTGGGGAATCCTATTGTTGTTGTTGTTGTTGTTGTTGTTTGTTGTTGTTGTTGTTGTTGTTGTTGTTGTTGTTGTTGTTGTTGTTGTTGTTGTTGTTGTTGTTGTTGTTGTTGTTGTTGTTGTTGTTGTTGTTGTTGTTGTTGTTGTTGTTGTTGTTGTTGTTGTTGTTGTTGTTGTTGTTGTTGTTGTTGTTGTTGTTGTTGTTGTTGTTGTTGTTGTTGTTGTTGTTGTTGTTGTTGTTGTTGTTGTTGTTGTTGTTGTTGTTGTTGTTGTTGTTGTTGTTGTTGTTGTTGTTGTTGTTGTTGTTGTTGTTGTTGTTGTTGTTGTTGTTGTTGTTGTTGTTGTTGTTGTTGTTGTTGTTGTTGTTGTTGTTGTTGTTCGGTTACAGACGAAGACGAGGTAGTGTTTTCAGCTTACACAAGCTTGGCTACGAATTCTCCTCTCTAACTCGACCATTTCGGCTCTAATTTGCTTTTCCAACTCTACTCTAGCCTCTTATTGTTGTTCTAAATTAGATTTCAAATTATCTTGCTGTTGCTCTAAATTAGATTTTAATTTTTGTTGTTGTTGTTGTTGTTGTTGTTGTTGTTGTTGTTGTTGTTGTTGTTGTTGTTGTTGTTGTTGTTGTTGTTGTTGTTGTTGTTGTTGTTGTTGTTGTTGTTGTTGTTGTTGTTGTTGTTGTTGTTGTTGTTGTTGTTGTTGTTGTTGTTGTTGTTGTTGTTGTTGTTGTTGTTGTTGTTGTTGTTGTTGTTGTTGTTGTTGTTGTTGTTGTTGTTGTTGTTGTTGTTGTTGTTGTTGTTGTTGTTGTTGTTGTTGTTGTTGTTGTTGTTGTTGTTGTTGTTGTTGTTGTTGTTGTTGTTGTTGTTGTTGTTGTTGTTGTTGTTGTTGTTGTTGTTGTTGTTGTTGTTGTTGTTGTTGTTGTTGTTGTTGTTGTTGTTGTTGTTGTTGTTGTTGTTGTTGTTGTTGTTGTTGTTGTTGTTGTTGTTGTTGTTGTTGTTGTTGTTGTTGTTGTTGTTGTTGTTGTTGTTGTTGTTGTTGTTGTTGTTGTTGTTGTTGTTGTTGTTGTTGTTGTTGTTGTTGTTGTTGTTGTTGTTGTTGTTGTTGTTGTTGTTGTTGTTGTTGTTGTTGTTGTTGTTGTTGTTGTTGTTGTTGTTGTTGTTGTTGTTGTTGTTGTTGTTGTTGTTGTTGTTGTTGTTGTTGTTGTTGTTGTTGTTGTTGTTGTTGTTGTTGTTGTTGTTGTTGTTGTTGTTGTTGTTGTTGTTGTTGTTGTTGTTGTTGTTGTTGTTGTTGTTGTTGTTGTTGTTGTTGTTGTTGTTGTTGTTGTTGTTGTTCCAAATTAGTCTTTAAATTTTCTTGTTATTGCTCTAAATTAGTTTTTGAATTCTCTTGATGTTCTAAATTTGCTTTTAAATTATCTTGTTGTATTAAGAGATCTAGTAGGTTGTTTAGCTGACCTACCTCTTGCTTAAGGTTTTCTTGAATTTGCAGCAGACCATTCATAATTTCTGCCTCGGCTTTCCTAGGGCTTTCTTTTTCCTCCTCCATCTTCAAAAACCATGCTGGGAGACCAGAAGTTTCCATGCCTGTTTCGTACTCAGTAGATCTAGTATTTACCATGGACTTCTACTTTGTACGAAACTTTTACAATAACTTTACAACTGATAACATTAACATATTATAACGTCTATCATAAAACTAAAAACTGCCATCAGGATCATCAGCTTATATAGCTTGCTTTCACCTTCTCGAAATGTCTAGAATTGTCTTGACGTGGAATGACATTGCGAGACATTTCTGGACTATTCTATCTTCTTTTATTTTTATTCGTATTTTTATTTATGACGATCGCAGCACACTGTAGTATGATGGATGACATTGCACTTCTTTTTTGTATTTGTAGGTTTCCTATATCGGCCGCAGGCTACTGCAGGGTGTAGGGTAACAATATATTATTAGAATGACAAATGACTATCAACGTAGAATTATATTTTACTTTAACATGCTAAAATGATTGCATCAATAACAACAGCTTTAAATGTAGATTACATGCTTAACAACCTATCAGCTTCCAATATATCGGTTATTAGTAATTTTCTAAAAGATGTAAGTTGTAAAATATGAGTTTTATTCTAGCAATTCTAGAAATGGTGATGGCAACAATTCAGACGCATTGTGACGCAACCCTTTGCAGGGATTAAAAGCTAAGGAAGAACATCTTCTGGGTAAATAATTTTTAAGGATTAAACAATACTAGAAAAGAAGAAAACAATAATGCAATAAAAAAATAACATACATTCGTTATTATTGTGAATAATCCTCTTGATGTTTTCGAAACAGATATAGATTAACAAAATATTAGATAAACGAACATATCGAACAAATAAAAAATTACCTGTGGGATGGAATTGCACGAATTCTAAATCTTGTAATGGAAGACCAGCCCTAGTTACCATTGCAGTCCCATCACCGGTCGACGAATGTGCTGCTGTACAAGAAAAATATGCTCGTTCATTTCCACCTGTTGCGATGACAGTATGGTTAGCAAAAAATCTGAAATTAAATTACATGTCTTCAGATTTATTTCAATAGGGCGAAAACCATACGTTTTATCGTCATGGTTTTGCGCAGTAAGTTATAGTCGTTTTAACTAAAAAATTTACGTTCAGTGAAGGTGTGGGGTCTTATTTAATTTTAGATCCCACAATAAATAAAAATTATAAAATATGTAAAAATGTACAAGACGTACATAAAAATTAAAATAAATAAACAAAAATAATCTTGGTAACCGAAGTTACCAAGGTGGCGAATTAAACCTCTTACTACCTTTCGCAAATTTAAGCTTTGGTTTCTTTGAACACTCTGTCGCGGTGAGCGGACAGTCCATCGATCGCAGAGGACAGCGAGGTGGTTTGTTAAATATAGAAAATGAGACCTTCTCTATGTCTGTACGTTCTGTTTATGTATTATGAATGTAAACAAAATATACTAAAATGAATGCAAATAAATTGTTTGCGTTGTTATTATTGTTGGAAGAGGAAGAATAAGAAAGGAACTGGCAATTGCAACCGTCAAAAATTCCGATAGGCCAGTGGATAAGTTGTTTTTGTGTCGCGATACAGAAGGTGCCTTTAATATCACTGTGCAGCGGAGGCTTTTGGAAATGAAACCAAATTTAGGAAGTATTTTAGACTTCCTACAAATCTTTTTGAATTCGCGTTGAGTTTTTTAAAGGGCGACATTTCCAAGAAACCTACAAATAAAGTCATAAAGTCATCTGTAAGTGTGAATTTGTCACTCATTGTTTTAAAAATTATAACATTATAATTGTTTGTATTCACAAACTGTTTCCGTACACGTCGACTATTCCGCTGATATCAAACTCAACAGATATAAATCGACTAGTTGCTAAAAATCAGCGGCATGACGCTGCCCTGCTCAGCTAAGCGGATTCAAGAAAACCGTTCCCATTTAAATACTTAGATAAAATCGTCAAAACGCGACGGTCCACGGATTGTCTGCTCACCGCGACGGAGTGTTCAAAGAAACTAAAGCCTTGGTTTCTTTGAACACTCCGTCGCGATGAGCAGATACTCCGTCGACCGCTGAGGACAGCGATTTTCGCAGAAGGTGGTTTGTTTAAATATAGAAAATGAGACCTTCTTTATGTCTGTATGTGCTGTTTATGTATTACGAGTAGAAACGAAAGGTACTAAAATCGACTCAAATAAATTGGTTCGTTGTTATTTTTGTTGGAAGAGGAGGAAGAAGAAGAGGAACTGGCAATTACAACAGTCAAAGTTTCAGTTAAGCCAGTGGATAAGTTTGTTTTTGTGTCGCGATACAGAAGGTGCCTTTAATATCACTGTACTGTTGAGTTTTGTAAAGGACGACATTTCCTGTCTCACTGTATAAAGGAGGATGTTGTCGAACCAAATCTATTAAGATTTCATGATCTGTATGTGTGAATTTGTCACTAATTGTTTTAAAAATAATAACAATATAATTATTTGTATTCACACACTGTCTCCGCACACTCCGACGATTCCGCCGATATCAAACTCAACAGATATGAACCGACTAGTCGCGACAAATCAGCGGCATGACGCCGTCCTGCTCAGCTAAGCGGATTCGAGAAAACCGTTCCCATTTAAATACTCGGGTTAGATAAAATCGTCAAAACGCGACGGTCGACGGATAGTCCGCTCACCGCGTCGGAGTGTTCAAAGAAACCAAGGCTTTAGGCTTTAGAAACCTCATTTCTATGGCAACCTTAGCTCCCTGGCAACTGGGGTTTCCGGGAATAAAGATTTTCATATAAATAAAACTGTGGATTTTTTTTTATTTTTGATGTCTTGTCGCTTTATCTATAATAATTTTATTTTACATCTATATATAAAAAAGATGGTTTAAATAACGACAAAAAACTACTAGACTAATCAATTTATTCATAATTAAGGCGGAACATCGGGGGGGTACTTTTATAGGAGGTAATTTTTCTAATTTATGTAATATATCTGTTAGTTGTGCTTGACGAAGAAAACTCTTTAAATCAAAGTTTACTGTAATTTTATTTTCTATAATTTTCTTAAAATGGTTCGTATTCGAGAAATTTGACAATAGGTGCGAAATTCAAATTTTTAGGAAAATTATTTAAATAAAATTTGTTTGTAATATTATTTTCTATAATTTTTGTCATAATTTCTCTAAACTGGACCGTAATCGAGATATTTGAGAAAAAGTGAAAATTTTGAATTTTGAAGATAACTCAGAAACATATAAATAGAAGAACACCAAATTTTAATTTTAAACATCAATCCATCTTTTTTTTAGAAAATTGTTTAATTAAAAATTGTTTGCGATATCATTCTCCATAATTTCGGTTTTATAAATGATTTCTCCATAATGGACCGGAATGGAAAAATTTGAGGAAAAGTGTAAAATTTAAGTTTTCAATATTTTCGTTGGCAATGAATATATACAGGGTGTTTCCAAAGTAATCTGAAATATTGTTGTGGATGATTCGCCTTTCAATTTAATGACGAAAAGCTCTTATATGTGATAGGTTTTGTCGTTTATGAGATACATGATGTGGACTTTTTTTATTATTTTAATAGAAACAAATTGTGATAAACATAAACATAAAAGTAGTATGAGCAGATTTTTAAAAAGTGGACTTCCAGCTAAAATACAAGCATCAGCTGAACGTCTAATGAGTTTTCGAATACGTTCAAAGATGGAAGTAATATTACAGCCTTGTATGATGCAATTTTAAACATCTTCTAAATTTAAAATCAAGTTTGTTTAACTTTTACTTACAGTCAGAGCTCATATATTACAAAAAGTCAACACCCTGTATCTCATAAACGACGAAACCTATCACACATCTTTATAGGAGGTTTACGTCTTAAAACTGAAAAACAAATCCCCACAACAATATTTCAGATTACTTTGGGAGCACCCTGTATAAAAAAAATATTTTGAGTAAGATGTGTGAGGAAAATGTTTGTATTTAGTTCATCCTCTTAACATTTACAGGGGTGATACAATAGGTTTTACAAAAAATCCGGACACATCAGATATTTTATTTTTGATGTGCAAGTCTTGTCGCTTCATCTATAATAATTACATTTTACATTTATATATAAAACAAGATGGTTTAAACAAAGACGAAAAATAACTAGACTAATCCATTCATTCATAATTAAGCCCTTACTTATTGCAAGTATTCAGATTGTCTTTAATGCAAAGCAGACAAAATTGTCTCATCGGCTGCCACATTAGAAAGAGCAAAACGCCTGCTAAATTGAGTGGAGATGGTTTGTGCGAGTTTGTTTATATGGGTAGCGAGCACGCGTTTTATGAATGAACTAGCTTGTACAACTATAATTCCGGCTTCACACCATTGTCACACTGTAAAATAAATAATGTAGTATACTGTAAATCAGCTTCAGCTACAATAATAGTTGCAACCAGAAGAAGACGACATTAAACTGACATTATGAATGCCAATATACTTCCTTAATGTAATTTAGAAAGCTTTTTGTGCGTTGGAAAGGAGTATTCTGTACCGATTTAGTTAATTTTAATTATTAGGCTAAAAGTTTTAAAAATTTTACCAAAATCTCTATTCAGTATTTTTATTAGTGATTATTTTATCACCAGACCCGGTAAAAACAAAAATGGCGACGATATAATATACCTGAAAGAAAAGTGTATTGAAATTAATTTTAACGCATAAATAATAAAAAGTGGAAACTTAAAATGTTTTACATGTAACCATCAGAAAGAGTGAAAAGGCCACCAATACCATTATCAAAACTTTCTTTTAATGATAATTGTATTGAAAGTGATTCACTTTTACTAAACTAACTTACTTTCTTCGTATTTCTCTTTGATATACGTAATATATAAAAGCAATGTACTGTAATGCAGCCATTTTCATTATTGAAAATTTGAGTAAAATGTACAAGCATTTGAAAAATGTTTGGTAGCAAAACGTTCGCGCCCTCCATCCCCATTAATTACTTGCATAAAATTATTACTTTAATTTCAGTTCTAAGTCACCTTTGACGACTTGAAAAAGCGGCGGGGCTAAGCATGTGGTAACAAAAGGTTACTCTTGAGGCGCCTAAAAAGGGGAGGTTGGGTATGGGTAACCCCCCATCACTCCACTATATCCGATTATGGTGGGTGAGGTTTTCCGGGTTTTCCTCACCTGTAAGTCAAATGGCACCATCAATCATCTTTAAGTCGCCCCGGATCGCCACGGCAAATAATAATAATAATATCCGTCCCTTCCCCTACACAAGTCGTTCAGTCGACTTCAGGGGTTGAAATTCACTCGTAAGGGGGTGAATTAGGGAGAGTATTATTATTATTATTATTATATCTTTAAATACATATTAACCAAATGGTCATAAAAGTCCCTCCCAAAGAATATTAGATAATATAATACCGTTCCAATTGTTAACTTTTTTATGGGGAGGGGAAGGAAGTAACGAAAAGCGAATTAGTCTTACATTTTAGTCCTCTATACCACTGTCGGAGAAGTAGAAGGGGTGGATAGAAAATCTCCAGAACTCAAAGGTGTGTGACATTTGGGTCAAATTTTAAAATAATTTTTCAGTTTTTTTATATGGAAGTGAGGGGTAGGGGGTATTAGGGGGTGCGAAAAGTGAAAGTACAATCAATCGTAGTCGCAGTCGGTTCGAAATTAAAGGGTGCTCATGTTCGCTATAGGGTAATTTTATTAGTCAATCATAATTTATAATTGTGGATCAGCGGATTTCATATATCGAATGTCAATGTTAATAGCTACTAAACAAAAATAAGAAAGAAAGTTGGTTCACTAACAGAAGAGAAAATGGTACTTAACTATTTTATCTTTATCTATTTATACATAGATATTTAGTTAATTATGGTAAAGAGCAAATATATGCGTTACCGATAAAAGAGTTTAACCTACGTTTTAATTTTAATCAAATATGACCTACAGAATGAAAAATTGAAAATAACGTTCGGCTATGTTTATACTTTATGGTTATTTTAAT